CCACACGGTGTAACGTGCTATTTGGCTCAAATCACTGCCAAAATCGACTAGCCGATGTCACACTTGAGCCTTAAGCTTTCACATATAAACCACTTAATATTTCGTTCCCAACACGATGTGGGACTAAACTTTTGTGGAGTCGGTGGGGTGTCACATTCACCCAACCTTACAAAGGCGACGTCCTCGCCGCGGCATGACAATTAGCACATCCCAGGCTACCAGACGATGTGGACTCTAGAGGTAGCTCCTACGGGCTCTAGAGGGGGCTCTCGCCACACGGTGTAGCACTTAGCCCCGCATAGCAATTATGTGACATCTCACCGAGTGTAACATCGCTGGTCGATTTTCGCAGTGGTTTGAGCCAAATAACAGTTACACCTTGGTGGGTCCCAACGGCTTGCCACGCGCCAGAACGGACCGCGCGGCCCGGGGGTGACGATATATTGACCAAAGACCAATAGAAAGTTAGAGATATGGATAGTAACTGTTTTCAAGGAGAGAACCGTATTCCTGCAGCGAGTGACAACTACCTTACTGTAATTAATAATTAATAATGTATAGGCGGTATGCAAGTCCAAGATCTTTTAGACGCCTCCGTGCTTCGGATCTAGTCTAGAACTAGTTACATGTGTCCTGCAAGCTCGTACATATGCAAGTCTTTGAAGGCAAAGCCAAGCAAATATTAATTTGTTTTGGTTGGGTCCGGATCGACCATTAAAGGAGCTGCCGAGCTCGAAGCCCGACGAGTACTGCTGTCTGACATCGAGAGCAGACATTTGCTCTTGGTGGCATCTCAACGAGTGCGAACGGCGCCAAGATAGGAGATGAGCACGTGCATACACTGAAGGGTGCAAAATAGGAGATGAACCTCTGAAATAAGTAGTGTCGTTCACAAATCTTTCAAAATGTTAAAAAAAAGTTAATTGGTGTGTTGGGGATGCAAAATAGGAACAGATGAGCCTCTGAAATAAGTGTCATTCACAGATCTCTTCATAGATGTGTTTAGTAGTTGGTATCTCAAGGTTTAAGTTCATTTTGAATATTTTCTTCCTAATTTTATTTCTGGCAGATTCGCTATAATTTAAAACTACATTCTTACTAGAGCACAGTAATCCATAAAACGAATACATTTGGAGGGGGGGAAAGATATCGCAAAGAAAAGAAATGGAAAGAAAGAGAGAAAATATTTTCAGTTTTTTATGAAAATATCTCAAGATGAGCATTCATGAGAGGCACGTGTCAGGCATGGTAGACATTTACAATGCCATGCTTATCCAAGACACAAATATCACTGCAAATGGTCAGATTTTAATGGTGGGGTATGAGCTTGGTGATTGCCTTATCCATGACCAAAATAAAATACAAAGTCTTTCCAGCCACAATTCTCCTCTTAAAGAATTAAAACAAATTCATGTGTGAGTGTGTGTATGTATGTGTGTGTGTGTGTGAATTCATTTAAGAAGACAAAACTGCATCAAGAATTCTATTTAATAGTAAATGGGGGTAGCATTACCTCCCCTAAGCTTCCCTATCTCAAGAAACAAGGCCAATTCCATGAATAGTTAGTACATGTACACTTGAAAACACATCTATGAAGCAAGAATGAGAAAATGCTTCCCTATCTCAAGAAACAAGGCCAATTCCATGAATAGTTAGTATATATACACTTGAAAACACATCTTTGAAGCAAGAATGAGAAAATGAGTTAACAGTCCAACTACACTTTCCTCATACAACAAGCATTCTTCTAGAAGTACAAATCACAAAATCAAAAAAAGAAAAAGAGCCACATCTATATGCTACTAAATCTCACCATGGGCCTTAATAATATCCACAGGGATTCCTTCGAAATTAACTAAGATTTTAAACTACATACATTTTTCCTCTGATGATGGATCAATCGGCATTGGCAATCGACAAACCAATCAGATAATTTCTCCGTAGAGAGCTTCTCCTATGATCGTGAGCTCACGTCGCCATTCCTCGCCTTGTCCAAGATTGACCACATAACCTGAACATCTTCATAAGGACATGCCATAACTTCACCATGTAAGTTCATTCCATATTGATGATTATGTCCTGCAATAAAACAGTAAAATATTGTCAAACTCTTTGCGACCCACATGTAAACCGCAAGCATCGGATGAGGAGAGGAACGAGACAGAACACCAACCAGCTTGGGGCTTCTTGTGATCTCTACTTGGAGAGTTGAAGATGGTGCAAGCCTTCCTAAAGGGAGAAGTGATGGTTCTGACCCAAGACCCCATAATCAAATATATGGTGGTCAAGTGTTTTGAAATTAGTACTGCTTGGCTGGTGAATATGTTGGATGAAGAAAATGAGCTCAGAACTCAAATTGGTTCAAGGTATCGATCATCTCCTGGAGAGGAGTATATATAGAGAGAGGAAATGAAGGGAAGGGAGAAAGAAAGGGGGAGGCAAGATCCGAGAGATGGGGTCTCATAACAGTCCACCACTTTGGGCAGGGAGCACATGCATCACATTAGTCCCCAAGTCTGCTCACATATAAAAAAATATGGACATTATTTTTTTCACAAGTAAAGATGGTCTCGCTCAATTAAAATTTCGGCTTGTGCATTGTCTTGTTACTACATTAATCAGATTGAGATACTTAAGATGTGGAAAAGAAAAAAAATTAGTTGGCAAGTTACCGCTAAGTCCCTGGTCGGCTGGCCTTTAATATTCAGATCAATAGGGGATTTTCCTTTTTTCCCCCCTTCATTTGAGAGAGAAAAAAATATCCCGAAGTAGATCCGTTTATTGTTAGGTTGGGGGTGGATACCAACCTACGACGGCGGAGGAGCTCCGACGAGCTCCAGGAAGACGCAGGTGAGCGTGGGAGTCGACGGAGAAAGCTTCAGGTGAAGATAGAACAGGCGAAGCTGCAGGTGAACGCGGGTGTCGACCTTCGCGTGCGAGCTCTCCGACCCCCGCGTTCGAGCGCTCGACCATCGCGTCTTTGGCCACCGACCATCGCGTCTCTGGCCTCCCACCTCCGCGTCCATCGCACCGCTGGCGACAGGTTGTCGCCAGCCTGTCAATTTTCGGCTATAAAAAGCCCTCTCTACCCGATGCCCTAACTGCTCCTCCTCCCCGACCTCTTTCTCTGGCGGCGGTGAAAAACCCCAAACGCAGTAGCGTTCAACTCTCTTAAACGCAGCAGCGTTCATCCCCTTTAAATCGCAGCAGCGATTTTGATCTCCAGCTCTCAATCCGATTTTGAGGGGAGATAAAGATAGGGATTTTAAGAAGAGAGAGAAAAGAGAAGAGGGGTTTTATATTGTGGGTATTAACACTGTAGCTACAGTGTTTGTTTGAGGAATCTCAGTTTAGAGATTTGATCTTGATTTGTAATTTCTTGTTAGATTAAATAAGAAATTGACTGTGTGGCTCCCGAGGACGTAGGCAGTTGCCGAACCTCGTAAATCTTGTGTACTGTTCTCTATTCTGTGTTTCCGTTGCATTAGGGGTTTAGGCCTTAAATTCCCAACATTTATAAGTAAAAGAATGTTAAAATTCTTACTGAGTTTCGAAACAAAGATGGAGTACAAATACTGATTTTAATTTTCAGGAATAAGGGGCTTCTTTTGGTAGCACTGAAGGAATAATAGGGAGACTTTATATATATCAAAACTATAATTAACTTATGGATTTAAAAGAACGAGAAATACCGATAGCTTCAGTAACAAATTAATCCATCCAAGATATGTAAAATAAACAGATATAAAGTCTTCATACTTCACCGTCATACCACAATGTAAATCCTGTGAATGAATGATAATTATTTAATGTGTCAGAATCGAATGAGTTTAATAATTTTTCTTAATAACAAAGAAGGCATTTCTGCGTTGGTATAATGACGAAATATGACAATTTATGAATGTCATAAATAAGTAACAATCTCAGTCAAATTTTCGGCTTGCATGTATAACACTTTTTTTTAGCTATTGAGCCTACGACATAGGGGTAGTTGGAGTGATGAATAACCTACTTGAGTAGACTCTTAATCTGTAATCAATGTAATTGTTAAGTCTCTGATCGTTGCTTAAACAATCTAATCCCTGTGCTCTAGGCTTCAACCTCTAATGATTATAGATACTTAACCTCCCCTTAACGGTTAAGATGCCAACTTGCACGTGTAAATGCCAAATCTCTTGCAGGCAAATCAACAGTCAAAACCAAATTATAATGCAACGCTTCTAGTTTGATGAAGTTAGAAAGGTCTGACCTGGCCACTAAAAAATTAAGTTTTTTCTCATTTTTTTCAGAGAATTAAAAAAGAAGACTTCTCTCCCTTAATAAAAAAAGGGTTTTGACAAACTAATATAACTTTGGATTTACTAGTCGCATCCGCATAAAAGTTTCGAATAATACAAGTTTGCGAGTGAAATTAGTCTCTTACTACTGGAGCACTTAGTCATAACTAATTCTAATGAATTACTTTCTTTTTTTTATCTCTTTGATGGAAGGAAAAAAAAATCCTACCTAGCTAATTCATTGGTCTGAGGAGGCTCTAACTTTCAT